GGAGAAACAAATGGCTCCTGAGACTCGCATGGGTGGGGAGCATGGAAAACAAGCCATTCAGCCCCTTGGTAATAAATTCCTCGGGCGGCTGAAGAAAGCTCGCGTGTAAAGCTCTGAACCCTTATTGGTGGTGCGGAGCTGGGCCCGCCCGTGCGGATGGATTGTGCTGCCGCAGATCTGTCCGCCTGCGACAGTCGTTTCGAAACGGACAGGAAAAGGAAAACCTTGCCGTCGTCATCATCCTCCGCTTATGGATCGCTTTCTGTGTCGCTCTTTCCTCCTTTCTCCTAATTCGATTTGACGTGTCCCAGTTTCACATAATGGACTTGTTTACGAGCAGAAAATTTATTGGAAATGTTGAGCATGCTCGACTGACGTGTGGGAGTTTTTGTGGACGGGCCCCGTTGCCGGCACGGGTCCCTGGCCGTGAATGGGCCCGTCGAGGCTCGCTCGCTCGCTCGCCGCTCACTGAGACCCGACCGGGCCTGTCCGCTGTGGGGTCAGCGAACTGTGACCCGGCAGCATGGGATCCCCGCAGCCGAGTCGTCCCAGCGGCCTGTCCCGATCCGGCTCGTCGGCGACTAACGTCAGGCCGCGCTCCCTGTCACAGGAGTGTGTGTCTCAGTTTAAATTTATTCGAATGCATTCGGCGACGTTGTTTGCATGTGACGAGTGTGGGGAGGATAACGATGCTGCCGCACTCATCTGTAAGCTGCTCTTATGCCAACAAAAACGAAAGGAACCATGCGTACGCAAGCACCCGTCTTGGCTCCAGTTTTATCGCCATTCTTCGCACGTCGTCATTCACTTGCACTCCGTGTTGCAAGTGCAGCCCATTCGAACGTCGCCGGCTTGTTGTGTCTGACTGCACCGTAGTGAGACCCCGCCCTAGTCAGCACGCCGGTGCTATGGGCCGTGCGTGGGGCGCCGGCTCGCGCCCGCCCAGCGCATGCTCAGCCTGACCGGCGCCGTTCCCGCCGCCGCCGCCAGGCCCGTGTCGGCGTACGCGCTCTTCTTCCGCGACACGCAGGCGGCCATCAAGGGACAGAACCCGCACGCCAGCTTCGGCGAGGTCAGCAAGATCGTGGCCTCCATGTGGGACGGCCTGAACACCGACGACAAAAACGTGAGTGTGCTGGTGGACGGCTGCCTGTGAACTGGTCTGTTGTGTGACCGTCCTTTCCCCTCCCCGGTCCCCCACCCACGCACATACGAATGGTTGAGCTTACGTAGTGGAATCAGTGCGAGGAACGCACGGCCAGTCTAGGCAATGAAACGTGTCATGAATCACAAGAGGATGCGACCAACAGCCGACCATTAGGAACGTGATAAGTGCCTGTCTAGAAAGCAGAACTGACTTGGATTATCACCGGTGAGTGGATGACTGTAGCCTGGCACGACTGCTCAACGAAGCCAGATGTGCCGCGTGTTCTTTTGAGGGGGATGGGCCCCAGGCGGTGCATTTGGCCGCCGCAGACCGACGGCGTCAGTGTTGCTGGCGGCCGAGGCAGCAACATCAGGCGGGTCTGCCGCCAGCTGGTCACCGCCGTCCCCGGGTCTGTCCCGGGGCCGCTCACCGCCGTCCCCGGGTGTGTCCTGAGGCTGCTCACCGCCGTCCCCGGGTGTGTCCCGAGGCTGCTCACCGCCGTCCCCGCGTGTGTCCCGAGGCTGCTTACCGCCGTCCCTGGGTGTGTCCCGAGGCTGCTCACCGCCGTCCCTGGGCGCGTCCCGAGGTCGCTTACCGCCTTCCCCGGGTGTGTCCCGACTGCCGTCCCCGGGTGTGTCCCGGGGTCGCTTACTGCCGTCCCCGGTTATGTCCGCCGTCCCCAGGTGTGTCCCGGGGCCGCTTACTGCCGTCCCCGGTTATGTCCGCCGTCCCCGGGTGTGTCCCGGGGCCGCTCACCGCCGTCCCCGGGTGTGTCCCGAGGTCGCTTACCGCCTTCCCCGGGTGTGTCCCGAGGCTGCTCACTGTCGTCCCCGGGTGTGTCCCGGGGCCGCTTACCGCCATCCCCGGGTATGTCCCGGGGCCGCTCACCGCCGTCCCCGGGTGTGTCCCGGGGCCGCTTACCGCCTTCCCCGGGTGTGTCCCGAGGCTGCTCACCGCCGTCCCTGGGTGTGTCCCGGGGCCGCTTACCGCCTTCCCCGGGTGTGTCCTGAGGCCGCTCACCGTCCTACCCGGGTGTGTCCCGAGGCCGCTCACGCGCCCAACTCGGGCGGCACCAGACCGCAGGGTCCGGCTTGGGCGATGGGGACAGCGCGCGGCGCCTCCGTCAGCGACACCGCTGCCTCGCCTGGGTCTGGCGGACGGAGTGTTCTGGCCGGCGAGCTCATCAGTTTAGGTCTGCAGAGACAGTCAGCCTGTCTGTGAAATTGGCGATCGCTGCCCGCTCGTTCGGCGGAAGAAGGCACGAGAATTGCCGGGCTTTGCAGCCAGAAGCAGGACAAGTTTGACCTGGTTCTGACCGGTGTCCAGAGAGAAATTCAAGATCTTTCTCGGAGAATTAATGTCGTCACTCCGATCGTATCCTGATTGGTTGCATAGGTCCTGTTGTGGTAACTAATTTTTGCGATGGGTTTCGGTCGCCCGGTGTCGCAACGTTACTATTTTCCCGCTCTCACTGACGCTGCAGTTTGGCCATTGTTCCGCGCCCAGCCACCGGTCGTATTCCCGATCTTTTCGGCGTTTCTTCGTCCCAGATACGGCTCCTTTGTGTGTTGCGCCATCGTGCTAACTAGAAGACTCAGCTGTTGATGGGATTAGCAGCGGACAAAACTGCCAATCAGCACAAATCGACCGAAGCTGTTGCCCGTCCCGTGCGGGATGGGGCCGGGGGAGGGAGGGGAACGGCAGACGCGCGCATCCAGCTGGATCTCTGGATCGCCGCTGTGGCAAGCATGCCAGCGTCGCCCAGGCTAAAGCGGGTACTGATGCTGGTGTCAGCGGGGCGCGGGTGCCTCCGCCCGTCGGGTGCCTCCGCCCGTCGGGTGCCTCTGCCCATCGGTTGCCTCTGCCCGTCGGGTGCCTCTGCCCGTCGGGTGCCTCTGCCCGTCGGGTGCCTCTGCCCATCGGTTGCCTCTGCCCGTCGGGTGCCTCTGCACGTCGGGTGCCTCTGCCCGTCGGTTGCCTCTGCCCGTCGGGTGCCTCTGCCCGTCGGGTGCGTGTTGTCCGACGAACGGCCCAGCTGCGGTCGCGCCCGCGCGCAGCCGGCAGGGCGGCGCCTAGTCCCGAAACGGTCGCACTGCCTCGGCCGCAGTGCGACCGAACGACAGACAGACAGAACCGCTGTGTTTATCACGGAGCGGGGCATGCACGGGCTCTCGCGAGGCGCTCGGTTCCATGAGTCACCGCCGCGGGCTCCGACAGAGCGAGTCGGCGGGGTCGGATCGCCGATTGACCTAAATCTGCTGCGAACGCTGGGTTCCTTTGGTGGGATGAAGGCACTACGGTCTGTCTGGGGCCGATATGTAAAGCGTTATAGTCACTTAGGCATCGCTTCAAATCAAAACATGCCCTCTATCTTGTTGTTTTTCTGGAGACGATACCTCTTCACAGTCGCATTTTCATTTGATTTCGGCTGCTGGTCTTGATGTATTGCGCCGGGTATGAAAACTGAAAACTTTATTGTGAATTCTCCAGACGTAGCCCGTAAAAAGAAACGTCGAAACCCGCTTTCTTTTCATGCTCTGCTGTTGTGTAAAGTCTAATAAAACTGTCGACCCCTGTCAGTCTACATGATAAGTGTTTGAAGAAGGGAAGTGAAAGTAGGCGTCAGTATTTTCCTACGTCTTGTGAGGACTCCTGTTATTGCCGTCTATTGTGAGCTCCCCGCGTGAGATGACGCTCTGTTCGCATCGCGCGGCACATCTGATTGTTGTCCCCTTCATTGCTCCAAACCACAGCTTTTGCAATATTCTCGTCAATTGCTCGTTCATTTTGGTTTTGCGAGTGGGTGGCAACGGTTCATTTGTCTTGGGAAGCATACACTATGCCGTCTATGCGGCCCATAGTTGTTCACTGATGTAATAAGAAATTACATATCGTATATGTGCATTATACATGCATATATCTCTCTATATACATATCATATATATATATATATATATATATATATATATATGTATATGTATATGTGTGTGTGCGTAGCACACGTAGTGTTAACTTTTTGTAGTCATTAGCTTTAATGGTATGCGTTAGTAACGGATTTTGTAGAAAAATAGTCATTAATGCGGAACAAAAAGTTCCAATTTGACCGCAGATTCAAATATAAATGATAACTTCGAATGATTCGTATTTGAGTCGAGCTCTTGGCCGTCACTCATTTATACATCCAAGCAAAGTATATTCACTCATTATCTGCGGAAAAAGTGTCACCTATATGGCTGAGATGTTTTGCGGCCACGTTTGCTCTTGACACGTTTACTGTTTGCGTCGCTGTGGTGGACGTGATTACACCGGAACCGCCCACCATTCTTGTGAAGACCATTACTGTGCGCCGTGTAGCGGAGGTAATAGAAGGCTGTAGTTTGCGCATGCTCCACTGCGCGGCGCTCCTGGTGTGTGACGGACCGGAAGACTCGTAGAGCGCGTTGCGTTCCTGTTATCCTGACCCAATCCGGGCCACTTCCGCGTAACAGGTGCGCTCATTTTTGTAGCGATTTACCCACTTCCCTGGGAATGTCATACCCGTGGTAGTTTGTTATAGGATGATGACGGTAGTAATTCAGGTTCGAAATCAGGAACGTCATTTGTGAGTTATGAGACCTGATCCTGTGGGTTGTGCCCACGGCACTTGCTCCGCCTGTGTCATTTATTTGTTCTCGTAGCCTTGCTAAGTCACATTGTTTCGGTTGAGTGTAGGAGTATTCTTGAAGCCATGCATTGGAATTCTCCGGATGCGTTGCACTGCATTTCAGATATATCTGGTTGACAGGTTTTAGGCTTCGTTGCGTGATGGTCATCACTAGACCAGACAGTAATTTACATTCGGCCTGGCATAATTGTGTACGGCGTTTTGCTTGTTGGATGATGTAACAGCATGTGTGGCATACCGCTAATGAGCCGTATCTTGGCGCAGGTGTACAAAAAGAAGACAGAAAACGCCAAAAAAGAGTACCTGAAGGCCCTGGCAGCCTACCGAGCCAGCCTCATCTCCAAGGTAAGCTTCTCGGTCACGCCAAGCGGCTCCTGTCGTGTTTTACCTTCCATCCTGCAGTAATCTTCAGCTGATTTGCATGATAAGCAAGGCATCGAGGGAATAAAATGAGCATCATCAAGCGATCCGCCCTCTGATATATGTGAAGTGGAATGTTGCGTCATTTTGACGTCACAATTACATCAAGTCTGGCTTGGGATTGGACTGAAATTGAACTACAAGGTGTCAGGTCGGTTTCCATGAAATGAAGCACTGTCATGTCTGTCAGTACTGTCTCGCGCTGTGTCGTGCCGCTCACCTGACACTGGTGGCAGGCTAAATAGCCGTGGCAGTTTGACATTAGCCGCGACCCGTGCCCAGCGGCATGGCTGACATCGTTGGAAGGAAGCGGCCTTTGCCATGTTTTGGCTGTTTGGTTCTTGGCAACACGTGCTTTTTCTGGCGGACAGAGACGTTCATACCGCTGCCCCTGCGCGTGTCGTCGGAAATGCATTTGCCAAGCGTTACCCGCTGGTCAGATCGGATCGCTGGATATCCCACTCGGGGAGGGACGGGACGGTTCAACGTCCGGGACTCCTATTGGCGTGAACATGCACCCGATCGTCGATGCGCAGTCCCCCTGCGCATCGACGTGATCGGGCGCTGCCGGCGGTGCCCGCTGGCTAGCTGCCCGGGCCGCCAATGGGGCCGGCTTTCCCGGCGACCTTGAGTCCAGCGTCGCCGGTAGGGGGCAGCAGCCGCGCACAAAGCGAGCCACTGGCGGCCGGCGCTGATGGAGACGGCCGGGCGGCGGCGGACGGGGAGAGCGGGGCGGCGGGCCGCCGCCGCCGGCGCCGGGCGGCCAATGGCAGCGCGCCGGCCGGCGTCCGCGCAGTCGCGGTGGTGCACCCGCCGCGCGGTGCTGGAGCGGGGCGCGGGTGTGTGGGGACGGTGGGCTGCGCTCGCCAGGGATCTGTGGACGCTGCGCCGTGGTCCGATCGCCGAGACGCCGCGAGCGCGCGGGACCAGGGCCTCGGCGCTCGACCGGTGCTGAAGCGTGGTGAGCGTCGAGCCGCCCACACCTGAGAACGGTGTACTGCCGGGCTGGAGGCTGTCGCGCGGGGCGGACGGACAGCTGGCGCGGCTGGGTACCGGTGACCCGGCAGGCGCGACAACACTGTTCAGCGGCCGGACGGCTCCTTAGTAGGCCGACGACAGCGGCAGGCTCGGTGGCGGAGCGCGTTGGAGCGCCGAGAGCGGCGTCTCGCGCGTCTCGGCTGGCCGGCGCGAGGCTGCCCGACGGCGCCGTCCCAGACGGCCGGCCAGGCGAGCGGCCCTGTCGGTCCGCGCGGTGCTGATTGCTCGGCGCTGGTGCTGTGGAGGCTGCCACCGGCGGCTGCCCGGCATGGCGTCCGGTCCCGAGATGGACGGCGACCTGCTGCAGGTCCTGGACGACCTGCTGCTCGAGGTGGGCACGGTAGGAGGCTCGGCTGGCGGCGGAGCCGACGCCGGCCGGCACGTGCAGCGTCATCCAGCACGTGTTTTTCGATGCGCGGATGTCGTGCTCGGCAGGGCCTTGCGGACGGCCCGGGTCCTGGGCCCGGCGGCGGAGCGTTTCCTTGTGCATGCCACTGCGGCGGCCAGCACTCTTCGCCGGCCAGTCCAGAGATTTGCCCCGCACTGCGGTCAGTGACGCGTCTGTGTTGGAATATTTGCACCTTGCCACGGAATGCAACCCTGACAAGACTTGTACCCGGCGTTCATACCTTAACAGATGAACCGGCTGGGCTTTCCGCGCACAAACCATACAGACCGGGTTCAGACTATGCTAGAAGTACCAGACATGCACACATCGCATTTATTTCTACCGTCTAACAAGCCGTCTGAAACGATTTTCTTTCCAACGTGCACTCACGATGTCCGACCCTGAGTGCCCAGACCGGCACAGAACGGGATGTTTGGTATCGATGATTTCAGACCGACACAGAGGCCCTTCATCGTTCCAGGGACCCCGATCGACGTCAGAGACTCCTTAAAGTGAATCCTGAGGGGGACTTCTTCCTGGGGGCTGGCCTTGGTCCTTAGAGCCTCTGATCGGGCCCCTGATGCTCGGCTTCGGGGCCTCAAGGGTCCCTCGGGACCTGAGGGGAGTCTGGGCCCCATGCCTTCCCTGCCTGTCCCTCCTTCTCCCCGCCCCCGTCCGCCTTCGCCCCTGCACCTGCGCCCCAACAGGGGTTGGGGAAGGGGAGGGGGACAGCTCCCAACTCTGGACAATATTTAACATCAGTCCGATGGCGGTGCATGGAAACAAGCGAGGTAAAAATTACACTTGTCCCCTCCTGTCACATTCGCAGGGGTTCTGCCGCTGCCACGCTCCAACGGCAGGACCTTCAAGTCGGACCTTGCCTTGCTGTGCTCTCACTGCACTGTTACGTCCATAGCATTCTTATTGTGTGTGTGACACAGTGATGGCGTCCGACCCGTGGGGCGCTGAAACGGGACCCGGTCATCCAGGCTGATGCATGGCTATGGCCCATCACTGCATTGCTCTCCACGTGTTCCCAAGCTAAAAAGGCTCTGCGTTGACGCGCAGAACTTTGACCCACGTGCGTACCTTGCTCGTGCCTATCAACGCCACAAATCTTTGCGTGGGTCAGTTTGAAGTGCAGGTGGTGATGCCGAATACCTAGGTCGAGCTCTGGCCGAGGTGTTGGCGGAATCTTGGCACTAGCCAGGCCCTACCTGGGCGGGTGCACTGTGTACACATGCATCCCTGGGATCTGGGTTACAAACTCTATACTTAGGCGTCGTGTCGTCAAGAAAAATCGATGCGCCTTTTCCTTGTGTTGAGGTCTGCAACATATTGTAAAACACAGTTGTTACAGAGAGCTGTTTTATCCCGGAAATTGGAGTGTGTTTTCCCAAGTGTCCGCCTTATTGTGGTAACGTTAATGCGCCCCAGAGAGTTTTGTCGACCTGGTCCTAGCCAAGACTTTTTGTCAAAAACTTTGGCTTAGGGTGGGTCAGGCATGCCTTAGCGCGCGAGTTTCCGCCGTGTAGCCAGGCCATGTTTGTAAAGGCTAACTCAAAGAAAAGCGCTACGTACATAGAATCGCAAGATATGCTCGCTGTGAAGAAACTTTACAGCAAATTTCGACGGTTACGTAGTTCATCGTGATCGAGATAAGCTGAGGCTGCTAAATGCGCTGGAATGCGTGGCGGCGAACGAAGTTTATCACACTAGAAGTTGATGAGATGCTTCTAAACAGGTACCGAGGCTGGCACTAAAATTTGGTCAGCAGTGCATCAAGTGCGTCAGTGTAAGCGCCGCTATTGATGCCACGTTAGCCGTTCTTGAAACCATGCGCCCACCAAAAAAGAGCATTGGGATGCTTGTAAAAGAAAACACATTTTTGGTAAGTCACTGGATTCTTCGCCATGCTATGTGACACTGATTTTGTTCCTTGCATTGCATAGTTATGGGTAACGTATGTTTGGGTCCCAAAATGTTAGCTTTTCTGGTATCCTTAGCGTGTTTACGTACAAGAGGTTAAGGTTGTATGTAGTGAATATTGCATCACTATGACGCGGAGAAAAGAATACCGAACGTGGGAACATTACCGTACCTTTCTCGTCATTGAATTTTGTCGCTCTTCATTTATGGTCTAGCCCATCCATCCGCTTGAGCACCACAAATGTGGGCCGTTTTCAAGATATTTGTCAAGTTTATCAGGGCGTAACAGCAGTAGCGGCATAGCCTGACTACCAAAACACCTATGATCATGCAACTGCGATCTGGGAACGAGAGAATTTTTTTGAATTGGAGAGATTCCGAATGGTGCGAAGTTGTTGTTGCTATTTTGGTAATATTTATTACATTTAATTTCGGCCGACAAACTTTCGCTGCCGATTTCAGCGTAACCGGTGAAAGAAGATGTCGTCAAGAGACTAGTACCTGCGCGCAAAGCTTAATTTTAACTTGAGTTGCATGCAAAACGATGACAATACGTATACACCAACGAAGGTAAAAGCTTACCCTGAGCCAGGCACCTCACCTCCTTTCTTTTCTTCACCTCCTTTCATTGTGTCCACGTGTTCCGTTCACGCGCGGGATGCTCCCCGCGGTGTCTGAGGGCAGGGCTTCATCCCCCTGGATTGCATGTCTTCATCCTGGATACGAGCAACACCGACCACGTGGTACGTGCTTTATATAAGCTGTGTGGTCGGGCCGTCGCGGAGAAGTGAGTCGCCACGGGACCTCGGTACTGGCACCGCCAGGCGAGCTGGGACCACCGAGCCGCAGACGGGTGGCTCCCGAGCCGGCGCTGTGCCGCATGTTTGCCGCCAGAAGCCGCCACCGGCAGCGTGTCATTGCTGCAAAATGCCAGATCAGCCAGGTGCGCGGTTTGCCCGGCGGACCAGCGTGGGAGTCTTTCACGTGCGCTGCTGCAAAAACAAGCGGCAGATCGAATCATTAGGCAACCTTCCTGGAACACATCCAGCCAACGGCACGCGAGATCTGGCGTGACGCTCGCATTGGGTGGGGTGGGGCCGAACATACTAATAGTGCTGTGGCTTGTGGGCTATGACGGCATAAGCTCTTGAACGATTTGAGAGCCGTATGGTCTGCTCCAAACTGCAGCTGGTAGTGCTCTACAGCTGGCATCAGCTGCAACAGCGCGATGCGAGCCACTGCACACCGTCCGGTGCTAGTCAGCTCACGTGACGCTTGCCCGCCTCTGGCGCTGACCAGCGGCGCCCTCCGCCGACAGACGAACAGCGAGGAGCAGCAGCAGCCCGCGGCAGGCATGTTCAGCGGCTACGGCGGCTACCCGAACACGCCGTTCACCACCGGCGGATACCCGACGCCGTACACGGGCAGCGGCGCCGCGCTCGCTAAGAAGTCGCCGCTGCTGACGTCGCTGATGAGCGACGGCCACCAGCCGCAGCAGGTGAGGACGGAGGGGGCTCTGGACTGCCGGCTGCCAGTTCCGACACTGTGCCGTGACATCATGACCTGACGCCGTGATCTGAGACTGTCTTGACCTGACAGAGGCCATGACCTGAGACTGACCTGACGCCGTAACCTGAGACTGACCTGAAATTGGGATCTGGGACTGACCTGACATTGTGACCTGAGACTGACCTGACACCGTGCTTGAGACTGACCTGACGCTGTGGCATGACGCTGTGACCTGAGACTGACCTGACGTCGTGACCTGACGCCGTGCCCTGAGACGGACCTGATACTGTGATCTGAGACTGACCTGACACTGTGACCCGAGACTGGCCTGACGCTGTGACCTGAGACTGGCCTGACACTGACCTGAAGTCGCGACCTGAAACTGACCTGACGCCGTGACCTGACGCCGTGCCCTGCGCCGGACAGGAAATGCTGGGCGGCTCGATGGCGCCGCCGTCGCTGTACCCGCCGGCTGGCCTGCTGGGCGGGCCAGGCTACCACGCGGCCGGGCCGGCGCCGACCGGCCAGATGATGCCTCCGGCCTCCCAGCCGCTCTACATGCACCACCAGGTGAGAGCCGCCCGCCGGCCGGCGGGACAGGCGGCTGGGTGCGGTCTGCACGGCACTTTGCAGCAGACCCGTGTGATTGGTTGCTGACGGGAGGGTGATGTGTGTGGTCCGCGCCGGGCCGGACCGTCGTGAGGTCAAGTCTCTGTGGGCTGCCTTGAGCCGGGGGCTGGTGTGTGATCTGTGCGGCAGGCTGTGCCGGGGCAGGGGGTGTCTACGCGCGGCACCGTAGCGGACCGGTGTCACTGAGTCGGCGTCCGTGCCGTGTCCAGCAGATGGCGGACCACCAGCTGGGCAGTCCACAGCAGCAGCAGCAGCAGCAGCAGCAGCAGCAGCACCTGACGTCCCACTCGCCGCCGAGCCTCTCAGCCGTGCTGTCGCCCCAGCCACTGGGTTCTCCGCCCATGGGAGCGGCGCCGCCCAACATCGCCCAGATGCAGCAGCTCACGCCCCAGCAGCAGCAGCAGCAGCAGCAACAACAGCAGCAGCAACAGCAGCAACAGCAGCAGCAAATGGCACATCAACAGCATCAGCAGTTGTTAATGATGCAGCAGCAGCAGCAACATCAGCAGCAGCACGAGCTTCATCGGCAGCAGCACGAGCTTCAGCAGCAGCAGCAGCAACACGAGCTTCAACAAGCAGCAGCAGAAGCAGCACGAGCTGCAGCAGCAGCAGCAGCAGCTAGCATTGCAGCAGCAGCAGCAGCAACTGCAGCAGCAGCAGCAGCAACAGCAACAACAACAGCAGCAACAGCAGCAGCAATCACAGCAGCAGCAACCGCAGCAGCAGCAGCAGCAGCCGGTGCTGTCACCTCCGCAGCAGCAGCAGCAGCAGCAGCAGCAGCAGCAGCCGTCGCCGACGCAGCCGACGGCGGTGCGACAAGCGTCGCCGCCGGTGGCGCCGTCGGCGGCCAGTCCGGGCAACTCGTCGGGCTCGCCGCTGCAGGCGGCCGCCGCCGAGCGAGCCAGCACGTGCATCCGCGCTGGCTGCGGTAACCCGCCCGTCAGCAACCCCGAGTGGGAGGACGAGTACTGCAGCAACGAATGCGTCGTCAACCACTGCCGGTGAGCCGACGGCCCCAGGCTGCTGAGCTTGCGCCGGCTTGACAGAGCTCACGGCTGTTGGCGAGCTCAGATCTGTTGAGGTATGGGTGGGGGGGGGGGGGTTCCGGGCAGGGGCTAATTGAAATCCGGGAATGTTGTGTTCAGAGCTTAGCGGTAGATGGCATTAAGTTAAGACTAGGGATGTTTCTCGTGAACATTGTTTCCATGCGTCCTCCTGGGACTGAGCGAATCGTTCGGAAGAGCCGTGAAGTTGGTCGGCTCTGCCGCCGTAAAATGGTTCCCGCGGAGGATTGATTCGATGGATGTACACTCCGCGGACATCAAAAGGCGGTACGCGCTTTTCGAGCGCTGCGTGCTACTAGGTCTCCGATCATGCATGCGATGCAGTGCTGTTTGGCGTCTGCCGGGCTTGAGACGGTGACCGCACGCTCTCCCTCTCTCCCCAGGGACGTGTTCAAGAACTGGGTCTCGTCCAACACGGCGGCCGCGCTGCCGCAACCGCCGCCGCCCGCGGCGCCCGTCAAGTAGCCGGCGGGCCGCGGCCACGTACAAACGCCAGCAATAGTGTCGCCACCTATCGGCTAGCTAGTCTACTTGTGTTGCGGGTGACGGCCGCACGTGGGGGCGGTCCGTGATTCCGGTGCGTGCGACGACGAGCGAGCTTCGTGTTACCCGATGTGTACATAGGTGTGCGCGGCGCTCTGGCCTGTACATACGCGGAGAGCATCCTTCTGCTGAACTGTCGTCGGCCGACGCGTATTTATTGCTGTTCACCTTGTCAGCGAGCTTGCCGGGCCGTACAGCGCACGCGAGGCAGAGAGAGTAGCGTAGTCGGAGCCTGGCGTCGCGTGGCGAGGATCGCGGCCCGCGAGGCGTCCGGAGCCGGCGCTCCCCGGGAACGGAGCTGGGCCTCGACGAGCCCGTCAGGAGCTGGCCTCGGCGGGCCAGACAGGACCCGAGCTATGTGTCGAGGCCGTCTGGTTGCGACTTCCGTCGCTGGATTGGAGCGTCGGCGGCCCACATTCCGGCGGCCGGACGGCGTGGTGCGATCATGTGGTGACACAGACAGCGCTCAATGATCACTGTACCTACTGTTCCATACTTGACAAAGTCTAGGACGCGTTGTTGCCAATGCATGGCCTGTACACACATGTAAATACTTTGTCCTGCGGCCGTGGAGCGGCGGGCTGCGCCCGGTGGCGGAGGCGGACTATTCAAAACGGCCCCGCCCCGCTACTGTCGTTACTGTCCAGTGACGACTGGGCTGGGCGCCACAGGCAGGAGGCATGCCCCTTCGGTGCAGGTGGCGCCTCCCAGTGCCGCTCGTCTGTATTTTTGTGGGCGGCGTCGGGCGCCGAGACTGGACGTTCAGCCAGGCTTCGAGAAGAGGACGGGAGGTGCCGGGTCTCGGGAGAGAGGCCGGGCGCCGTGTCGCCCTCCGTGTCGCCTCGCTCCCATGCGTCGGACGGCGCCGAGATGGGGCGAGCTCAGCGCACCCGCCGGCGTCCAACTTGTTGGCTACGTTGTTTGGTGTTCTTTTCTCGTGTAAGAACGTACGTGTATATTACTTCAATAAGATCAGTCATAAAACTGAATGGCGCCTTTCTTTGTGGCGGTCGGTCGGCCTACGTTAGTGAGCTATGGCGACGGGACGATGCAGAATTAGGAGAAAGTGTTGCAACCTTCTTTACATGTAACTCACGGGATTTCTCAGCGAGCCGGATCTCTGACGACGCACGGTGACCGGAATTGGGTCTCGGTGAAGACAGAAATGTAACAGCAGCTTGCACTCGCAGCAGCAGCAGGAAGCCAGAAGGAGCGCTTCGTCGCAGGCGTTTACTCGATTATGCGGGTTCAGCTTCGACCGCATTTTGTAGTCGATGCCTTGTGGACTGACGGGGGAATATGTCGCGGGTCTTGCTGGCAAGGGAAGCTGCCAACTGCAAATAGAGGCAAAAAATACTTAGCCCCTGGCCCTTGGATTTCAGCTGCGATAGCTCAGTTAAAGCACGCAGATTCTCCCACATGTGATTGAACTAAAGTATGAGTCATAAACGTCCCACCTCCCGAATCTAAATACAATATTTCTAGCAGGCTTCTCCATAACGGACCACGTAAAAAGCTGTCAATGATCGGGATGACAACACCAACTATAAATAGACTGGATCCCAACCGCGTGGGCTGAAATCGGCCTCGACGCCAATGCGCCAAACCACCACCAACGGATGCCAACCACTGCCGCCGTTCCGTGATTGGATGGACATATGATGCAACTCCCAGAACGACGCTGCGGGCGGAATATTTCCTTCTCAAAGCTAGGATTCTGCCAGCACTTTCTGGCAAGTAAAAAGCGTAACTATGTCAAGCCTATGCCGTTTGATTCTATTCTGTGTTGCCCCACAGGAGCAGATTCAGCCTCTTCCAGAGGTTTTGGCCAGTCGTTTCTAAACTACGCTCCAAAATTTACCGCACCGCCACGAAATTTACGCAGCTTTTCATGTCGCTTGTGTGGCAAAATTTTGTAATACATTGATCGCGCATAGGCGATTCCTTGCTTTCGTTTCTGGGAGGCAATCCACTTTACGAGGGGAGCATCAAACAACTTGTACGGCACACTTCTGCTACAGTTCAGGGTAAGTAAAGATCGCACCCATAAAAGACGTCAAAACACGGCACGCTTTTAATTGTACGTAACTTGCTCCCAAGACAATATAGGTGGTATGTATCTGCGCCGTGGCCTCTGAAGTGAGGAGAGCCTTCAGATGAGCTGCAAGATGCGGTTTTTCTCTCGTAGGTAAAATATCCACCCATGGTAGAATTGTTTACATTTGTGCCGTTGATGGACGGCCAATTCGCATTGGGGCTGGTTGAATCTGGGTTGAGTGTGGGCTATCTTCTTCTGGATCACGTGCCGCAATGCTTGGGCCAGCAGGGTCTGTCGCTCTCCCTATTTAGCGCGGCCACTGCCACCCGCCGCAGGCCGTTTCAGGCAGGAGCAAATGGTGGGCGCCTGAAGCGACTCGAACCCACCCCGCCACACGTGGTGAAGCGAAAAGCATAAGCTCTAACCAACTGAGCTATCTTGGCAATTAAAAAAACAACTATAAAAAGCAAAGTCCAAACGTTTTGATTGGATGCCTTTCTGGGATGATGATGCAGCTCGGTCAGTGGTCATGTTACACGAGTCCTTGTATCCCGCCATCTGACCCCCGAAATTCCGGTTCAACGACGGAAGTTTTAGCGGAGGTTTAACGCGTCTCAGTGCTCTGATCGGCCCGCCACCCCCTCTGATCTCATCTGAGCTTGGACGGTCTCTTTCGCCACCGCTCAGTGCCGCCGGCCGTCTCAGCCAAATAACGAGCGCCGAGGTGACTTGAAATCGCCCGCCCCGCCCATGGATGTGTTGGGGCTCGCGCACTAACCGATCGAGCTACGGGACGGAATGAAATTTACCCCACCACATAAGCAGTTCGACAATTGTCGAGCTGTCAGTTACGGAGAATGCTGTAGTGTGAACGAAAACAGCACATGTGCGTGAGAGTAGTCCAGAGAAAGGTACTCTGAGTGCATTTCCAGATCCGGCAGTGCCTCTTCCGATGTCAAGGCTGGGTGAAAAAGGCCTAAATGTGAAATAAGCACTGAATACCTTAAAATGAGGTTATTGCAACGATAGAATTCCTCTGAAACAGCCGGTTAATTATTATTAGCAAGATCAAATCGCCACAGCCCCACTCATATGTTCACCTTGTCGAACGCTTAAAAATAAGCGTTGTTTTAGTTCTAGATGAGTTCGCGCGCTTTCTGGATGATCCAAAAATGCCGCAGCAAAGACTTTTGTACGGCAGACGGCAGACTGCTTTGTAAATTTGCCCGCGTGTTTATTGAGGTGTCAGGCAGGGCTGAGGGATTGGAGTGGTGAGTAGTTAGCTGAGCGGAATGCGTTCCGTTTGTATTGCAGAGTTTAGCCGATGTAAAAGGTTGTTGGCTCAAAAGGGTTCCTGTCACCCAACAAAGGTCCCAGTGAGGACCGGTTTGAAGTAAACTGGTGAGCCACGCAGTTGAGCATGGTTGCTGTTGCATCGTCTCCGCAATCTACGTTGCTGCAGTTTGAAAGGGACTAAACATTTTGCGCATCCCTGCATATATTAAGTTTATATATTTGACTGCCACAACATAATCTTGTTTGGCTCACCTTTGCTGATCAGTGAAGACAAGTGACAGGCCTTTTTCCGTAAAATTGCTGGATGTCTTTAAAGAAGGCAGATAATTGCAGCAGCACAATGCAAGTTAATCTTGGGCTTTTCCATCTTCAAAACATTAGCTGTGTAGTGGGGCTCTTTTGCTCTCTTGCTCAGTTTGACATTTAATTATGCTGTGATGGTTGTGAGATAGTGTGACCTTTCAATTGGGTGATATAGACTCGGACATGTATATATACTTCACTACCTCATGATTTCAAGGAGAAAACATGACATGAAAGAAGTACATGGTGATTTATATTGCTCATCAGATTATATGAAGTGCTACATGCTATGGCATTAGATTTGTCAGCCTGTCATAACTCCTTAAACATTATTTCCTCATTCAATACAAGTGACTTAATGGACCTTGCCTGATGTTAAGCTTTTTGGCACAGTTTGAAATTGCAGTATTTTTTGGCATACCAAAGAATGGCAGGTCAGACCAGAATTGGTTTGGAATGCATAGTTTGCACCAAAGTGTATTGAGATCAAGTACCTAAGCACAAATGTGACACTATCAGAGGCGATCATTTACAGCCTGTCGGAGATGGTGGCTTTGAAGATTTTCACAGGAAGTGTAAAATCTCATGAATTTGGCTAAAGGCATTTCTCAGTTATGACTGTTTGAAGCTGATTTGAGCAAAACTTCAGCACTCTAGGGCTGTTTGGTCCCTGTGTCTGACTTCCATTTTGTCCCTTTTGTAAGTGTTTTGTGATCATAACATGTTTATAGCTTCTTATAATTACTATGTTTAACTGTCAAGTATCATCAAATCAGTGCATAAGATTACTAAGGTTAGTTCATCATTGCTTGAAATTTAATTAGATAGTTACTTTACCAGCTCTCCAAATGGCCTTCATTGTTAGTATGATGTCAGCCATGAACAGCTGACCAAGTCTCCATCATGATATTCACTTCTTTCACAGTAAATATTGAAACCCTTGTCTTGCAATGCAGTATTAAGGCATTTGGAAGGATCCAATCCCAAGTGACTGTGAATCCCCTTTCCCATGTAAAGCCTTGTGATATGGTGATGTCCCACACTCCTGTGGACAGGAACACCTGGGACCAATATTGGTATGTTTTCACCAGCATTAAGGTATTACAATTGAATGTCATATTTTGTCACCAGCATTGGTCCCAGCCATGCCTGCCGAGATGTCTGAGCCATCGACCATCACTGCCTGGACGTCGGCGCCGCTGGACGAGATGGCGCGCCAGTTCGCCGCCGGCGTGGCGGCCGGCCTGTCCACCGCCGCCGCCGAGCAGCAGGCCGCCGCCGCCCTGGTCGCGGCTGTCGGTGCGCCGGCCGCCTGGCGCCACCTGCCGCTGCTGAATGGCGCGCCGTCGCACACGTGGCGCGCTGGCCGGCTGGCGCGCTTCCGCGGCATGGTACAGGACATGCACGACCCCGAGTTCTACCTGCGCGCGTACGGTGTGCGCGGCCCGAGCGGCGCCGTGCGCGCCGGCTGCGGCCGCTACCGGGACGTGGTGGACTGCGGTGCGGACGAGCAGCTCGACCCAGCGCTCTCAGTCAGCGGCGACCGGCAGACGCTGCGCTGCCTAACCGTGCCGTGCCGCACGCCGTGGGTGCGCGAGGCGGACCGCGCCGCCGCCGCCGCCGCTGCGGCGGGGGATGGCGAGCCGCTGCCCGCACGGGCGTCGGCCGCCTCTAAGCGGGGGCTCGAGGAGGAGGAAGAGGACTGCGAGATGGAGGCGGAGAGCGAGGACGTCGACAAGAAGTTCAAGGAGGAGCCTGCGGCGGCGGCGGGGCGCGGCTCGGACGCCACGGCCGCGCAGGGGACCGCGGCGGCACCGCCGACCCACGGCGTGCCACCCCCGGACGCGGACGCCATGGTCTGTCTCGTCAAGATCTACGGAGACGAGCACCGGCTCTCGCTGAACGACATGGTCGAGTTCGTGGGCGTGCTGACGCTGGACCCGACGCTGGCGGCGGCCGGCGACGCCGAGGACGCGATGGACGCCGCCGAGCTGGCGGCCCACAACCCGCCGCCCTCGCTGGCGCCGCGCCTGCACGCCGTCGCCTGGCGCAAGCTCGAGCACAGCAACCCGCTGCTGGAGGCGGCGGTGGCGGCGACGGCGTCCAGTCCCGCGGAGCTGGCCGCCACGCGCCGTGAGCTGGTCACCGTCCTGCGCACGGCGCTGCTGGGCGACGCGCTGGCCGCCGAGCTGCTGCTCTGCCACCTGCTCTCGTCCGTGTACGTGCGCCGCGATGTGATGGCCCTGGGCAAGTTCGCGCTGAACCTGGCGCGCGTGCCGGCAACCGGCGCGCTGCCCGAGCGGCTGTTCGCGCTGCTGGAGCGGCTGACGGAGAAGGCGCTGTTTGTGCCGCTCTCGCTCGGCAACATGAACGGCATGACGCTCGTGCCGAAGAAGGACTACAAGCGGAACGTGCTGGACACGGGCCGGCTGCAGCTGACCCAGAACACGCACCTGGTGCTGGACGAGACGGCTCTGTCGCCAGGTGGGCGGGCGGAGCGGGCGACAGGTGCCCTCCCCACCTTTGCTGTGCTGAGGATAGCTTAAATTAGACCACATTGGACGATTTCATGCAGCTTGTGGAGCGGTTAATCTGCATTGCTTGAAAAGTTTGCTTGCTTGAAGGTAAAAGTTCTCCATAATGTATATCAGGCCTTCGGTTACCGTTGCAGTTCTGCAACAGATGCTGTGAAGTCCTCGTGATTGGTTTTGGGCCAGGCATGTGGCCATCGATGTCTTGTATTATACTCTCTCGTTTCCTTTTACGTATCCACTCTTAATTTCACTCACCGTGGCTGATGCACGCCGCCACAGACATCGTATTTTAGTTATTTTCCCGTGGCGGTGTGACCTCGCTAACTTGTGTGCGGCCGTGGCTGACCTGTTGTACGTCTGTCCACAGGTCAGCTGGACGAGCGGGGCGTCCAGAACCTGGCAGCGCTCGGTCACCTCATCACCTGGCAGAAGGTCGAATACGACTTCGGCTTCCACAAGCTGGCCTACGTCGCCGACGTGCCGGTGCTGGTGCTGTCCGAGGGCCGCTCGCTGCTGCCCAGCGACTGCCGGGTGCCGCTGGAGCCGACCGAGCCGGCCGACCGGCTGGAGGAGCAGCACCGCGCGCTGGACCAGTACCTGACGCCGCCGCTGCTGCAGCAGATCCGCAGGTACGGCACCGCGCACTGGAGCCGGCACTGACGTCAGCTCTTCATCAGGTCAGCAGTTGGGTACCCCGCTCGTGGCTAGTGCTTGGTGCCATCACGGCCACAACGAGTCCGCGAGTATGGTACCATACTCTGAGCTGGTGCCGAGCGGTGGCATGCGGTCTCCCCAGCAACCCGTGCCTTGCCATTTCTGAGCACGCCACGGTGCATTTGACCTTGGAGAGCTCCTCCGCACGTCACCTGCCTTACTCGGCATAAGCTGCGATGGAGTCCCGTCCTGTCTGCAGTCTGACCATCCGTCGTGTGTGTGTGTGTGTGTGTGTGTGTGCGCGCGCGCGTGCGTGTGCGTGTGCGTATGCGAGCATGATACGATGGCATCGCTGACGGTCCGCCGCTGCCGGCAGGTACCTGACGGTGGCGCGCTGCCTGCCGTACGCGGTGCCGGAGCGGCTGCAGGCGACCGTGCAGCAGGAGTTCGTCAGCTGGCGGCAGCAGGCCGGCGGCCAGGTGAAGGCCGAGGACCTGCACCAGCTGCTGGTGCTGGCGCGCCTGCTGAGCCTGTCGCGCGGCCAGACCGAGCTGACCGAGGAGGTGTGGCAGGAGGCGCGCCGGCTGGACGAGCAGCGCCGCCAGCGCGCCGAGAGGCTGGAGCCAGCGCCGGTGGCCGCCTGAGGCAGGCGACGGAGGTCGGCACTGGTGTGGCGGGAGGCTGGTCGCGAGTGGGCGAGATGTGACAGCGGCCGGCTGTGGCGCGGTGGAGCGGTCTGGATGGGAGCTCTGAGACCGTTCAAGTTGTGTTGTGAACAGTGGAGTTCTGAGCTGATGAGGCTGTCGTGATGCTGCTGATACTGCTGTTGCTGCTGCTGGCGGCGTGAGGACGCCAGGAAAGAAGTACACATAATTCCCACAGACCGTTTGGGCCTGCTGTCTGTGGCGGCGGAGTCTGGAGCTGCCAGCGTCTGGCAGGGATCGCCGGGGACCATCAGACTCTTCCCCGTGGGGTGCGAGTGGTCGCTGTTCGGCTGTCCAGGAAGCGATGCTCAATCTCGCGTTGTGACGGTCTCCGCAGTGAACCATCCCCGTTTCCGCCGCGGATGAACGCGTGGTCCCACGATGATGACGTCATTGGTGTCGGAGTAAACTTGCGGTCGCTGCACTGTGGTCACCTGACGAAGACGAATGTTTGTTTTGTACCGCACATTGCTGACGTATCTGAAGCGTGTGTGAAAGTCGCATTCCATATTTTTGTCGACTGCGCGACTGGTGTGATGGAATGATAATGATGCCTGTGACATGAGAATAGACCCGTTTTGCTTGCCATTGTTTTCGTCGTGGGAAGTGGGTGGTTCCACGGACTCAATGAGTAACAGTCTGGGACTGCGCGAGGCGCATCGGAGCACCAGCGTCGTTTGGAGTTCAGACCATTCATAGTTGTTTTTGGCGGATGTTGGTGTGCGTCGCATGGATCGGTCGATCGTCATAGAAAATAACAGCATCGAGATAAGCCGGCTCCGGCATACTCCAAGTGTCGGTACGCCGTTGATCGAGGCCAGGGACGCTCCCGCCGCCACGTCCCCCCCCCCCCCCGCCGACCCGCGCCTGACAGTGGCTCGTCCGTACGGTCACAAGTGCGCTGGGCATATCTGGCGGAACTGCCACCGGGGGGGGGGGGGGGGCTGTCTGTTCAAAATAAATGAAGCATGTTGGAAATAAGTCAACGTCCTGGTTGCAAGACAGGCCTATTCTCTTTCTCCTCCAGCACAGTTTATCCACTTGACACGACTATGCCACGCGATAGGCAAACTACCCAGGTTCCCAGTTGTTCATGCGTCCCAGCAGAAGTTCTACGCTTGTGTGCCGACACGCGCCGCATCAGAACGGCTAGGTCTAACAGCGTGGCGCGCCAGCGGCCCAAATCCCCAGTGAACACTGGTGCCCCATTGACGCGATTTCCCGCATTAAGAATGTTGTAGATGGCGTTCTGGTCCCGTGCAGCACGAGTTCCGCGCCAAATCCTCCTTCGCGCGTTTTTTTTTTTACCTCCAGAGGTGCGCTGACCGCGTTGCTCGTCCGCCCGCCACCGCGGCGCGAGACCGATGTGACCTGTCACCCATACTGACCTCGGACGGACGAACGTGTCCCAGAAACGGTCTGGGCCCTAGCTCTGTTCATACGTCATGCCGCGTACACAATTCAAGCCAGGCGAAGGGCAACCCGATTCGTATTTTTGCTGAGACGCGAATGTGTACGCAGTAGTGCATACCATGTACCTACGTGCCTCGGCCTCTTTGTAGCCTTTCAATGTAAGCATGTATGCACACCAATTTGGAAACCACACAGCTTTTCCGTCGTTTCCAACCTGTGTCCTGACTTCAAGAATTGCATGTGAGGGATCATTTTAGCGGTGGTGCACCAAATGTGCTGTTTCGTATTCATCGGAAGAAACACCAGCCCTCGCCGCCCGACCTGGCCATCAGTGCTCCTAAACTTTCAAAGGGATTGGGGCAATTGCATGGAGAAAGTGGACATCGCGTTAAGAGGGAGTAGTTGTAGTCATTTGTCACCAAGTCCAGCCCACTTTCCTCCCCTCCAACCGATATTAGAAAGCTACACGCCAGAAATACATTTTTTTAATCTGCTCTCAATGAGGTGGTGTTTGAATTTCCATGAAAGCTCGATTTTCTTTCCATCTTGCACGTAAGATTTCTCGTTGTGTGACCTGTTTTGGCCCGTGGAAGTCAAGCGCTTAAACATCCTCCAAAACGAGTGTTAGCGTCCGTGTTGTCATTGCGATATCATGAGAGATATCCTCTGAAAATTTTGCATAATTGAGGGTCACTCCAATGCGCGTTTGAATACGAATGCACCACTCCACTGCTAGCACCAATGGAATTCCCATAATCCATGCACGGTGAGGCTCCAGCTGCAGACATTTTCTTGGGAAGATAGGGTGCTGCATTCTTGGTCGTGCATTATGGAGCACGTTTAGTGCCTCATTTTGACGGAGGCCATCGCGCCGATCCTGGCCACTTTACGCAGCGATGGTCGGACGACATTCCATCACCCCCCCCCCCCCCCTTTCCTTCGGTGGCGTGCAGGATTACATCTGCGGTCTCAAGTACAGAACTTACGAAGTACCCTGCAAATGCACAGAGAAGCATGCTGTGAGATTCTTCACTTATCTGTGAGCCATTTCGTCTCTACCCAGCCTTGCGCATCGCCAGCCATGCCCCGAGCCAGCTGCCCGGTCACCTTCATTCCACCCGGCACCAAGGCAGCCGAAATCCCGCCCGCTCCACTGCCCATTGGGCCCGTCCCTGACCTCAGGCCGCGCCGGGTGAACGGCGGCCCGGTGACCCTAGGACCCCGCCGGTCACGGTCGTCTCCGACGCAGACCGCGGCTCGGTGCCATTTAGAGTCGCTCGATTAGGGATCGATACAGGCCACGTCCAGACATAACTGCTGTCACCTGACCTCGTAAACTTGTGGAGACATTGCTCGTGAATTTGTCATTACAGCGGATCGTGGAGCTTCGTTTCCCGGCCACACATCGAGACCAGGGACACGCTCGCGGGCACGTGGGCGTGTGACTAAAACATAATGGAAATGCACTCTAAGCGACGGGTTCTGCGCATGGAATATTCATTCGGATTATTGTCTTCGCTTAGAGCGTTAGGATCTTCACAACGACCGCCTGGTCAATCCTCCGGTCATCAAAAGGAAGGTCAGATAGCCGGTCGCTCGGTATGTCATATTATCGTGACGGCCGGAGAGTTAAATGACCGAAACGCTGTGTAGATACCAACACGCCAGGCGAGAGCGACAGCCCGAAGGATGGTTCCATCCGCTACGTTAGCACCTCGTCTTTTTCATTCCGTGAAACTGTAGCGGATCGGTACGGATCCCAGATGACATTCAACTGGCGAGCGGCTGGAACTGAACATCAGGCGAGCACACGCAAAGAGCCGTGCAACCTGCCTCTCGATGGTATTTGGGCTTAGGGGCGCTTAGACTGTCTTGGTAGTTTTACTTGTTTTCCTTTTAATGGCCGAGGAATGCAATGGGAGGATCTTTGTGCACATTTCAACACAATAGATGATGATGGCAGTCTGAACAATTGTTCCATCCGCATGGCTCCTGGTCTGCTGACAGGCGTTTTTCTCGCGCCAAGCGCGTGCGTCCCTATGAACTAAGTCCCCCAGGCTATTCACCGCGCGGCTACCTACGTCATACCTTTGCTGAATGCATCACATTGTTCGACAGCTATCGCTGCTGTATACAGGATATGCTTTCTTCTTCCATCTCTCGTAAGCTCACCAACTGCAGTCTTTTAGATATGAGAAGCCTTAGGAATTCTGATTGCGTGTTTAATGCCAAGCACGCAACATGTTTGTGGACGAATGGTGAGGGTTTATCAACTGCCGCTATCTTGTATACATGAACATTGAGGCTCGTTTAAGCGACCATTTAGGCCTTGGGTACAACTAACGGTCCCTTCACAAAGGTGCTTTTTCAGCACGTCAATCACGATTCGAAAACAGCTGACGTCGTGGGGAAAGGTATGACGTGTAATTAACATACCCGGGGGTGCCCAGATTGAGATCCAAGCGGGCTTGCTCGTCGCAGCGCAAGCCAAGCCTAAGGTCCCAAAGTCCGCTTAAATCACCTTGAGCATCCAGCCATACAAGAAGGCTGCAGTCGATAAGCCAGCCCTAATTAATTGGGCTTAATTAGGTGCAACTGGGTCTACAAATACAACGAGAAAAGTTGCATGCTAGTCATTTAAACACGCAGCCAAAGTATCTTGAGCCACACTTCTCCAGAAGCCGGACGGATCGGACGAGAGGCGAGGGTCTCCCATCTTTCGTTCGGCCTTAAAAATCGCTTTTTCGGAAGAAAGCAAGCCGTGCGTGCGACGGCGAATAGCTCCGTCGAAAAGCATGACACGTTCAGCACAAGTATGACGCAGCCAGATGCGGGGTGCAGACGGAATTGGCTCGCTTCTTCCATGTCCCACCCGGTCAAACATGCACGGCTCGGGCTATGTACGGGCGTACGACACACGAAACAAAACAGCCTCCCCCCCCCCCCTGGCAAGACAGTTACAATGCGACGAGCATGTCGTCTTCTATTTCAATTTGAGGACCTCGGGTACGTATTACGCGTTACACTTTTTCTCGTGACGTCATCTGCTTTTGAACCACTTCCAACGCATTTTAATAACGCCGGTGTATGAACAGATCCAACACCTCGTCGCGATTGTTCCGTACAACAGTACCGACGTGCCTTATCCAATCATATGGAAACCAGTTGCTACAATAAGCGTGAACCAAGTCGCAACGCCTCTGGGCCGAATTGCAAGAAAAGGCTCGACACACATGCTGGGTTCAACCAGTGCATCTACAGAAGGTCGGATGGCCCATGCAACATTGCGACCCAACGCTGGACCTCGTATGGATGTCGGTCGCCAGTCGGCTCATCTCGCACGCTCGATTTTTCCGTTTCTCTCGTATCTGATCGGGTCAATGTGGAAATCGTCTGGGCTCTCATCACACGGCTGTCTCCACCGTGACCGGTCTCGACGCTGTCCTCGATCGGCCAGTCTGCCTCCGATCCTGGTTACGCCTCAATTACGACGTCTTTCCCAACTGTTGCCTCATGACGCCTCTCATCATCGAGCCGTTTCCCTGGAGTTTCGCTTCGGTGTGCTTGTGTCATCTGACAGCCTGCTCACATTGCGTCTGCTGGTGTCAACCACCGCGACGCCGCTCCGTTTCTGTAGCATGGCGTCTGCTGGTGCCCACCGCCGCGACGCCCCTCCGTGTCTATAGCATGGCTCTGCCACCAGCTTTTGTGCCGCCAGAGTATGAAATCAGCGCTGCCACCGGCTCACAGACGGACGCCGACTCAAAGGCAGAGGCTCACCGCCCAAATGTCGATATTCCTGGCGTTTGGTTTCCGGATTTTTCCGGTTTCACATGACAGCGAGCGTGGAGAGCCTTAGCTGCTAGATCGGACCTTCATCCAGTCATCCAGCTGATCGGCTGAACTGGTGAGGCTGTCCGACCGTCCACCGGTCCGGCGGCGATGTGGATGTGGAGGCCGGCTGACCACCCGAACTGGTGAGGGCTGTCCGACCGTCCACCGGTCCGGCGGCGGTGTGGAGGCCGGCTGACCACCCGAACTGGTGAGGGCTGTCCGACCGTCCACCGGTCCGGCGGCGGTGTGGAGGCCGGCTGACCACCCGAACTGGTGAGGGCTGTCCGACCGTCCACCGGTCCGGCGGCGGTGTGGAGGCCG